ATATATATATATATATATTTAAAGGTTGTAAAAGTTGTTAGGCGGTAGCCGAACGGTCGATTGGGGTTAAGCACTAATTGGTCTAGGCGGAGATTAATCGGTGCCTAGGCAGAGACCCTTCATTCTAATAGAGTTTTTTTTTAAATTAAAAAGTACATATATCCTAATAAAATAAGTAAATAACCATAAAACTGTGTCATATTCAGTCGTCTAAATATTTAAATCATCGTATTGAATAATTTTAGACTAATTGGGAATCTTTTTAACAATTTTAGTCATCAATCATCATAATTTATCACCCAATATCATAAATTTGACTAATCGGGGGATTTTTTTTTGAAAACTTTGAACTTTTTTACCGGCTTAGATTGTCTAGACTGTCTAGGATTGCCCATGACCACCGAGGGCCGCCTAGGACCTCCTATAGCCGTCCAAGACCGACTTCGCCTAATTCGACCGACTAACATTAATCGGAGATAGTAAGAGGCTGCCTAGCGCCTAAGGCCGATTTTATAAGATGTTTCTAAAAAATCGAAAATTCAGTGATCGAGGCTTTGTGAAATCTTATAAGATGTTAATAGGTAAAAGAATTAGAGTTGGTTGAATATATTTACCGAAATAACCTAATCCTTTTTTGCTAAGATCCTCATAAAAATATGACATTGATGTGTGTAAAGACAGAACAACAGGGACATGTAACTTTCCACGAGGGACCATAATAAATTATTGAAATGTGTCGATCATGGAACATAAAATATTTTTATATAAAAAATGAGGTATTGTAACGGAGCAGGTTATTGAATATTTTACACACTTTCCTAACAATAAACATATAAGAATCCATGGATAAGATCTCAAATGTAAATTTTTGGATCACTTTTTTTCATGGACTATTCTTTTAATGTAACCATGACCAATGTTTTAAAACCCAGGTTGACCCGGCCGGTTCAACCGGTTGGACCGTGACCCGGGGTAGAAGGCGAGTCAATTGAGAACGGTTTTTTGTCAAAATACGGACCGGATCGAACCGGCCGGGTTTCCCCTGAACCGCGGTTCGACCGCTTATGTTGAACCGGCTAAAACCGGGTTAACCCGTTTTAATTGGGTTTGGATAGTTGGATACAAGTAGCGAACACCAAAACAACAAGTCCTTTGCGGTTTCTTCAATGTTTTTCAATATTTAAACTTTGTGGATATCAGATTATTGGTTTTATATGTTTATGCATATATGCAGAAAAGTAAAAATATATAAAAATAGAAAAAGAACATAAACCGGGTTGACCCGGTTGACTCGTGAACCGGTCATCACACCAGGTCAACTAAAAACTCGGGTTTTAAAACATTGACCATGACTTTGTTGCTGGCTTTGGTTTTAGTAAAATTTACAACATTGGTAATCGAAGGGCTAAATATAGCCTGTGAAACATAGTTAAGGGACGAATTTGGTAATTTGTTCTCTGAGGCTCTGAACAGATAAATCGTTGCTGGAACAAGGGGCATCATTGACGACACGAGGGAGGGAAAAGGAGAGAAAATTCAAGTTAACCGTAGTTTGCAAACGCTGAAAACTTTAATCTCTTTGATTCAAACAGACGATTACACTGGTTATGATGGAGAAGTAAACTTCTTAAAGTATCTGGGTATTAAGTTCAATCTGAAAATTTGAAAACCAAGAAAGAAGAGGTTATGGATTGCACATGGAATTCAAGAACAAGAAGAAGATTGAAGAACTAGAGATTACCCATGAAACCAATCGCAATCGCAAACTCAGCCTCATCGTCAATTTTCGTAGTGCCATACGCTAATAGTGGTGGTTCATCTTCCAAGATAGTTGCCCAGAAGAACAAGCATCCCCAATCTTCAAAGGTGGAACTTTTCCCATTTTTTTCGTTTCCATATTTTGTTTTACATTATAATGGGGTTGTGCTACTGCACTTAATATCGTGAAATCTTACGGTGGCAGTAGATTGATTACTAAGCTTATAACTTCTCTTGAATTCCTAGTTTGGGTATTACTGCTAACAAGTGAAAATTGGCTGTCAAAAGGAGATAATTTAAGAATAAAACATTTAAGAAATTGTTTAAAGAAGTTGTATTTTGATAGGGTTCAGAGCCAGCTCCTGCCAGGATTACATCAAATGTGAAGCAGAATTTGCAGTTCTTGAAGTTATGGAAGGTGATTACTAAATGGACTGGTCATTTTGTTTGTTTACAAATTACAATTACAATCATGTATGTGTATACTCCCTGGGTTTAGCAAAAAGGTTATTAATCTTCCAACAAACCAACCCATAAAGAAATAAAGCATCATGTGAACTTAACAGGAATATCAAAAGAGAAAATCTGGCACACCCAAGCCTGCTACGAGTTACCGGAGGAAGAAGGTGGAGAAAGGTGACCTTCCAGATGATGATACCGAGCTCTATCGTGACCCTACTTTGACCCTCTATTAGTAATTTTCTTTCGTGGCCTTCAACTTTTTGCATTTAGTTGTTCATCTTTTATGGAGATTTTATGAAATTATTCAACAGTACAAACCAGGGAATAGACACTGCAGTCCCTGTGTTGCTTGTTGATGGTTATAATGTCTGCGGGTATTGGCCCAAGCTCAAAAAACATTTTATGGGTGGAAGGCTTGACCTTGCTCGCCAAAAGCTTGTTGATGAGCTCATAACCTTTGGAATGCTAAGAGGTATCTGCTTCTTTTCCACTCAACATTTTTAATCACACAACCACAAGCTACATATGGCTGTTTCTTTTTGAAATAACCGCTTACTAGAGAAAATCAACCAACTAAGATTTTCCCCTTACTCCTATAACTTATTACAAATTTGTTCTGATATATATATATATATATATATATATATATATATATATATATATATATATATATATTCCAAAGAAACATGTCATGCTTTCTAATTATATCAGAAATGCAACTGCTAATGTTAACTTACTTGCAAGGGCATGGGTACATGATGCATGGATTTTGATGTTGTAAAAAGTTAACATAGCAGGGGTGCCTTTATACCCATGTGCATGTGTTCAAAAAATGCATTGTGTGATAATTCATATTCATACAATATATATATATATATATATATATATATATATATATATATATATATAT